TGATTTGCTCCCCTTAAAAGGGTCATAGTTTAGCAGTGTTGCTTTACTAGGTAGTATAGTGATTTCCGACTCTCAGCTAAACTTATCTAACTGATAAATTTGAAAATATTTTAATAAGTAGGTACTATTTAGTACCTGGTAGTTGAACCTGTAATTAGTTATTTGCACGTCATTTAACTTTGTGCAAACAAAAATAAATAACTGCCTCGTTGGCCGAGTGGTCGTAAGTGCGACTGCCGGGCAAGGGGTCTCGGGTTCGATTCCCGGGTCGGACAAAGTATTACTGAGTTTAAAAAAATTCTCAGTAGTATAGCACGGAGTCTGGAATTGTGCTCGGTATATGACAATAAGCTCACCCCCTATTACATGGGACTCATAATATAAATGGTGAAAAGTGGGTGTTACATTGTACAGTGGCATTAGGTGTCGTAATGTGCACCTCTGCCTACCCCTTCGGGGATAAAAGGCTTGATATTATGTTATGTAAAAATAAATAAATCGGACTTATGCCAGTTTAAAGTGTCAAACACCGCGAGGACACCGGTGACCGCAACCTATTGTTCTTTAATTGTGTCTATAATGACGGTACTCAAAGGGTTAAGGAAAATACAAAATATTTACCGACTTAGAAATTAGTGCCCAAATTTTCCCAAATGCAATATTTTTAAAACCTTTAAGCAATATTTTTTGTTTTACTTTATATAAATGCCACAACTAAAAGTTGAACTCGCAAATTGAATTCGGATCTTAATCGATTTACAATCAATTAGGTTGCATTCCTACCCAAGGATATAAAAGTCCAGGCCACAGATTCACAAAATTAAAAAAAAAACTTAAACTGGATGGACTAAAATAATCTCACCTGTTAACTTAATTATTTAAATATTTATTGTGCCGTTGGTCCTGAGTGTGCGAATTTCAATTCGATTTTTTATATTGTAAAATTTTTGGTTTGTGACTTTGAAATTCCCAGTAGAAGGAAAATCTAGCTTTTGAGCCTAAAATTAGTCTAACTAAGGCGTGAACAATGAGTATGTATGGATTTAACGTCTTTTATTGCTACCTCTGCCTACCCTGTTAACGAAAATATGCTCTATTTGTCAAACGTTTATTTGTGGCTATTCTTAGTTAATAAATTCGACTCCATAATTTGGTATTTGGCAATAAAGATTTATGTTCACATTAAAATTAAAATTGAAATCTGGTATAGTTTTGTCGCTGAAGGAAATATTATAATATTTTAAATATATGACAAGTGTCTTTAAGAGCAACTATTGACTTTAAAAGGTCAGCTACTGTATATAAAAATATAGAATTCATAAAGATTAAAACTATCAATTATAGTTTTTCACATTCTTCGGTCCTCAGAATTAATCAGTTCCTAAGAGATGATAATGTAGGTTTTATTGGGATTGAAAAGGAAAACAAGAAAAAATATCTATCAGTGAACGTAAAAAAAAAACAAATAATAAAAATAGGCTGTACATAAACACATTCCATAGACAAATTAAAATAGTTTTAACTGACGTCTTACATTCCAAAGATAAAAAAATAAACAGTCTATCACAACACTGCTACAGTTAAGTAGCAGATGTTTCAAATATCGAATAAAAAAATTAATTAGAATAAATTAGCAATCGAAGTGACCATTGGCGCCATTTTTGTCGCGTCACCGGCGCCATAAGATCACATTTTCCCAGGAATGTCAATAGGTAATTATTTCAAGTATTTCGTGACAAACAAGTAGGGTTGTTTCGAAGAAGAAAACGTCAATATTTGTATCTAAAAGCGGACATAAATGGAATCATTAGTATTAATGAATTAGTTGAATGTTATCGAGCAACGACGACCCGACGTCAGAATGTTATGAATAATTTCTATGACGAATTCTTGTTTAGTTGTGATAATGTGACCTTTGCACTTTATGTTCCTGAAATTATTATGTCGCTTTGGGTTTTTTAACTCTATACAATTCTAAGTAGCTAACCAATGATACATTTAGAAATATTAACGATATCGGAACTTTTTTCGGAAGAAAAATTATGATTTGTTGATGATTGCTGCTACGTGACTATATCGGCCATATTTGACATTGATCGTGGTCACGAGAAATTCCAAATTAAAACGTTTCTAAGTAAAATGCCTCATAAGTATTATGCCTCATAGGTATATCTTATAGGTCATCGAGGAAAATACAAAGAGGTCTATACCACCTTCTTCGAGGGACTTCTAACGTAGGGAACTGGTGAAAAGTCAGTGTTTATTATTTTTTCTCTCAAGGCTTAAGCCTCGAGTGCTGTTATGTTATGTAGAACATACGAATGCCTATATCTAGTAGAAAGAAAGAAAGAAAAAGCTTTATTTCACACGCTAAAAACAGGTGACACATACAGATTATACTCATACAGTTCATAAATACTAATGTCCTATGTCTACGGTGAAATGGGACCAGTTCAGCATATGCAAGACAGGGTTTTGCGCTGGTATTCTACTGGGCCCTTAAGTGACTCTAATATGTATGCATACACACATACAATATACATACATACATGCATAACTTCACGCCTGTCTCCCATGGGGGTAGGCAGAGACTAGGGTACGCCAATTACTACGATGCATATAGACATAATAATAAATAAAAATATTAAGTATAATAGTTGTTAACAGTAGCATTGACCTCCGGCCTTGTGATATCGAATAGTAAAGAATAAAAATATTTCTTGTACTTAATTAATGTTATCATAATAATTGTTAATGTTAATTATTTTTGTTATGTTCGCTTGTTATATACCTGGAAGGGTGTTAATACGAGGAAATATTGCGATATATGCACCAAATAATATTTTGTTTGTTTTTTAGCGTATGAATTAGAATTGATAATTAAATATGAGTGATTGAAATGAGAATCAAGTATTATAAAAACTGTTTTTTTTATAATATTATTACACTAACTTCATACTTATAATTTTTGGCCCGATATTTAAACTTTTCTTTGATAGCAGAGAGTGAGTCAACAAGCAAAATATATCATTTCTAAAATCATAAAAACCAAAGGAAGCAAAACTACAAGGTTTTCTATTACTTTCCATTTCTAAGTAATATATTTCGTAATATTCTATAAAAAGTTTGTATTCAACGTAAATACAATAAAAATGTTTCGGCCTTGCCTGACCTTCCACAACACAAACACATTTCAATCATAAATAACTTTCTTTTAAAACATAAACATTCGAACCATAAAACAATAAAATGCATGACTTTTTTTATTCTATTTTTAGTAAATAAAAAAATTGATTCAATTTCATAAATTTTCAAGTCTATAAAAAGAGTACAAAAACACTGGAGAGCTTTCATTAATCTTATTTCTTATAAATTGATAAAATAAATCATTGGGTCTACCAAATATTTATTTACTTTAGGTATTTGAATTTTTACATTATTCACTTTTTGTAGAAAAAGTAGCAATGGGTAATCCCACCTTTTTACGATACGTCGTAATATGCAAAATAGAAATATTTATTTTATAGTGTGAAATTCTATAAAATGAATATCCGGAATGTAAAACATTAACGTAATATAACTATTTAAATAATAATCTGTAAATATATTTAATAAATGTATTAAAATATATTGTAATACTATTAACACTTCAATTAAATTTTTAGATTTTTGTATTCTTAATATAAGTACATTAATGTCAGGCGCATCAATTAAAAAAAATATTATAGATGTTAACAATAATTATGCCTATTAAAAAATACCTACGTTTTCGTATCGTTTATGTTTTATGTATAATTTATTCAATCTTGAATAATATAATTCAGTAAGACTAACATTTCTATTCTTAATTATTTACTTTGGCACGATGTATTTTTAATATTATTATACAATAAATACTAAGCTAAGTATACAATACAGCACCATACAAATTCTACAAGATCCATTATTATGCATAAATGAGGTATAATTGCTCATGACAGATCATATCACAATCATAAACATACAAACTATATGTCTAAGTCAGGTTATTACCCACTTACCTTCTACGAGTCAAGATCCTCATTAAATAATGCATAATGTAGAAATATACATTAGAAATGAGCCCCACTCCTGATCCACGTAATTATAATCGAAGCTACGAATAAAATAGCATTTTATTTAACACTTTGAATATGTTACAATAAAAGAGCACACTGCACTACAGAAAACATCAAACTAATTTTAAAATTTGTCGTAATTAAAAAATAACAACATCGAATAACACTTAACATCGACACCACAGTGACATTGTCATTATTACCCATTTAAAAATATTTATTCACGAACAAATTGGAACCGAAACAATAATAACAAATGTAAAATAAAAAATATAATGTTTATTGAAACTTTTAGTAGGTATATTGAAATTGAACAAGTATACAGATAAGGCAGGATTACGCGAGGACAACCAAAATATTTGTCTCAGAAAAGGTGAATCATTTAATTCGAAAAAATAATCTTCTGCCGTCGTTTAAGAAAAAAGTCTCTTGCGCCAATGTACTTAGATGCGGTAACTTCTCATGAAGATTCACTGATTTCAATATCACGACCATCCGTGATTAGTTGAGTGCTTTTAAAACCGAGTATAATTTTCTATATGACACCGATACCCCAATAAAGTAACTCTGGCCAACAATGGTATGCAAAGATGATAAAAAAATGCGTAAAGTGTGTGTGTGTGGCGCTCGCGTATGACGCACGGCGCGCGTGTGTGTTCACTGTTCCTGCGCATGAAATGAGTTGATGTTGCAAATGTATAAAAGCGAAGCGCCGATTTCGAAATCAACATAACGAATTGAAATCCTCTAAGGAGTGTACACACGGACAGCAGAGTGACCGTGAAATTTCCGCATTGTGTTACCGAGTTCGGTTACAGAGACAAGTGGCCTGAAGACCTGTAACGTTACAAGTTGTTCGAACATTTATTTTTTCAAGAAACTTTCGTGAAGTGTCCTGTCAGGATGTTTTCTTTGAAGGTACGTACAGCAAGCTTTGTTTTTTTATTATTTAAATATTTTTTATTATTTAATTTAAATCATACTTGATTTTTCATATTTGATTTATTTATTAATTTTAATTTTTTTAAGCATTACAAATTTTGGAGATAAAATTGTACATAGGAAATAACAAAAACAATATTTTCAGATTACCGTTGCCCTTTGCATTGTTGCGGCTGCGACCGCGTATCCTTCTCCCAGCGAAGACGGCAGGTGGAACCCTTACAAATATGGCGATGATGGCAAGTAAGTAAATGTCAAAGCGACTTGTTTGTATTCATTTAGACATTAAATCCACTCTCAGTCTCCGCATTCAAGATAGTTATCAATTTACTATTTCCAGTTAGTTTCAAATACCTGCATTTAAATACCAGCGATTTGTTCTCAACTCTATGTATTGCTAATCCCTTGCAAATTCTTGTAGAGTTGAAAGTTTGACGTAAATAAAATTTACCTGCAGTCGAAGTCGAACTAGGCCAAGCTTATTTAATCCCCGTAAAACAACAAAACTTGTAAAAATACGCTCAAGTTTATCGGGAACCTAGATTGAACTTTAATCCTGAACAAAATAAGAGACATAATAGATTATTTAGTCCGTCCATTTTATTTGAAAGAGATTTTAATTTGGAGCGTTATGCTAAACTTAAGTAGTCGCGATAGAATGGCTAACGGTTTGTTTACCATAAAATCGAAGAAAGTGCATACTAAAACTGTTGACAGACAAATAAAACCAAATCGTAAAAAATATTTAAATAAAATTTCCTTTCATAGGTACATTCCCGGCAATGAGGGCAAGTACATTCACATTCCGAACCCCTACATCCACATCGACAACCCTTACGATGGAGGCTTTGGACCTTATTCACACGACTATGAACCTTATGTCGGAGAGGCATCAGTAGACCAGTACAGACTCATCAAGTACCCAGGAGAAGATAATCCCTTCTACACAAAGGGATACTACCAGAACAATGGCATCAAGATCATCAAGCAGAACCACAACTACAAGGAGGACAAATACGACTTCGAGTAAGTATTCGTCACAAACAACAACATTAGACCGTTCTAGAATATCAGCCTACGTCAATGACATTGTAAAAATCGAATTAGTACTAAATTCAAACCAGATCTGACATAAAACCTCAACCTAATTTCAATAAGTAGCGCAAAACGAAAAATAAACTTAAATGTTCCAAACGATTTGCAATTTTTTGGGCAATGTAGGTAAACAAATGTAAGATTCGTCGCTAAATTAAACTCGATCACGACTTTTTATTCACAGAATTCTTATTCGTAAGCGAGATCCGATTTGCATATTATATATATTCAACAATCTCAATGAAAAATAACAAGTGCAAACTGCAACGTCTTACTTTGTTTCGAATCGAAGCTTCAAGATATAACATTTTAGAGTAAAATATCTCTCGTGGAAAGAAAGTCACTAGGTATACAAAAAAATCCCAAAAAATAGTCTGAACGCATATTCCAAGACATAAAACCAAATTTAAAAGCTCTGAATAGATAAAAAGTTATTTTTAACAATAATTAATTCATGAATAGACGAAACTTTATTCATAAAATCTAATTGATTTACAACTTTTTTAACGTCAACTTATGTTAATAAAGCATTTACATACTAAAGGCGCGTAATGTACCGATTTATTGGCTTCCCGTCTCCTACACAAATTTTAGCCTTGCATCGCAGAATGTCAAGCTTATCATGGCTGTTTGCATATGTAACACTTCAGAAATTGCTGAATTATAAACAGTAGTGGAAAATTCTTGATATAATCCATTCGATTACCATTTTACCGTAAACCCGCGGGGCGTGGACCAATAAACATCGAACATGCAAGCTAATAAAGGTATCATTCACTTGAGTATAGTTATAAATTGCGCGGTCGTGTATTCCGTATCCAAGATATCTTTATATGCAGCGGTAAATCGAAGCGCCGGATGAAATAACATGAATACCAAAACACATACAATAAATCTTACAAATACTTCATCTATTCAAGTCAAACACTTCATCAATATTGAAGTAGCTAATATTAATCATGTTGGAGATAATAAAGTTATTAGAGGAAGCTTTTCAAACAAAAAGATTGCAGTCCTTGAGGGCACAATAGGAATAAAACAGATCAATACACTAAAATGTAAAACTGCCTTGACACACACAAAACGCCAGCGGGTCATAGTTCAAAATAATTTATAATCATTTACGACAGCCAAATTGACATTATACGAGCTTGTTACAATAACTGTGATGAGATATCGGTTTAGTGTCGATTAAAATATTGTTAACAATGAAACAGAAACATCAAATACCAAATCAAATATTAATTACATGTACACGGAAATGACATAACTGACATTTTATGAGGATTATATTGTTATACACGTGTTGAAAAGTAATAAAAATTTATAAAATATCAGATGATAGACCAAATGAGTCTTAGACATTTAAATAGATTACATCGTCATAAAAACATGAATTAATTTTCCTTTCTTTATTGCAGTTTCGAAACTGAAAACAAGATCCGTGCTGAAGAGAAAGCTATTCTGAAGAACCCCAACACCATTGATGAAGGCATTGCTTCCAAGGGTTTCTACGAGTACATTGGACCCGACGGTTTCATGTACAGGGTAGACTACACCGCCGACGAGAACGGTTTCCGTCCCTCAGTGAAGAGATTAGAAACCCCGTATTCTGGCAAGTGGATATACGAAAAAGTCAACTAAATGAAAAATCTCATAATCATCCTCTGAATCAGTATTTTGATATAAGTAGGCGATGTTGCATTTTCCATTGTAACCTCATTCATCTTCCGACTGACTTCAATTTATTTAACGATCACCATCATTTAGTTCAAGATCAAAATATTGTTCACGAATATGACATTTGAACATAGCCAGGATATTATTGACGCGCTGTGATGGACAGATCAACCTCCATACCATTTGTAATGCATAAATTCGCTTGGAAATTTTAAAGTACAAAAGTGTGTCATACATTGGACATCACTCGGTCTAAGAAAGTGTTTGCTAAGATAAATATAATTTATACTTTAGTTATAAGTGCTTAGATATTTTTTAATTTAGACCTATTTATAAAATGTGATAATAAATTTATATTGCTAAAAGTTCTGAATGATCTTTATTCTTCAATGCCTTCTTAATGTGACCTTACTCTTATATCCTTAAAACTTGTACTTCAAATAGTTTAAACAACCTACCAATATGGGAACAGTATTAAAAACCATTTGAATCTAATATACAGATATAATTATGGGTATATCAAAAGAATGTAAATAGTCTAGGCCTAGGCAGACCCTAAATATTTGCTCGAAATGAATGCTATTATGGACCTTCTACCTCCAAAGTACATTGGAACTTGCTGTCTTAGATGTTTTGTACCGTGATCACACAAGATTATCGATGTTGACTATTTCCGTATTTACCTTAATTTCATTATCTTTATTGCTTTAGCCTAAGTTCTATTTTAGCAGAGAAATTTTTGGAATTCTATGGTTCCTTCTACTGATGTTTTTTAATACATAAATTAACATTATTAATTAATATATCTATTGATAAGACATAGAAAGACATTTTATTGGCAATGCTTTCTATAATAAAAAAACGTGGTGTTAGAGACGTCCAACATTGCATGGAAACGGGCTGAAAATAATTACCAATTTTGACATAAGGTCTATGAATATATTTTATGAGACAAGGCCACTACAACCTGCCAAAATTGCTGCAACTCCTGTACGCCAAGATCTATAGTAGATATAATCTTGAAAACATCGGAACACTGAAGTCCAACGCGACCCAGGGACATGAATAACTGTCTTGGTTACCTCAGCGAAATAAATCAGAAAATATTATAAGACGAGAAGAAACAAAAAACGATTGATAGATAGAAAGTTTGTCAAAAACCTAAATTTGGAATACCAAATCAAAGGTTTTGGTCTATTTTGTTATTATGTCAGTTATTAATTTAAGCTATACCTCTACGTTATTATTCTCGACATTATTCACGCATTTTCATAACATTCTACCATTTCATTCTTTTTCTTTCAAATCAACTAGTAAATATTGTTTTATTTTAATGTTTATGACATTAACTAATATTATTTGATTTAAAAATAGTCTATATGTAGGTGCTTATGTCTGTGTCTTATACTTTTCCTCCAAAGCATTTTTGATTGAGGTTCAATTTTATTTTACTACCTACTGATTATATGAGGATTCGTTTAAGTACCTGAAATAAAGCGAATCTTATGAATGTTTAAATATAATACAACGTTTTTTAAAATAACCTCAATGACATGTCTGTCTGCTTCCCGCACCCACGAGTTTCTTTGACTGGCGCTAGGCACCCGAAAGCTGAGAACAATAGCTTCGGAATTTCGCACTTATTTGTTGATTTTTTTATTAGTCACTGGCATTGTGTGAGTGCTACATAAGGAAGTACTAAATACACTAAACATTATTTCGCTTGAGTCGGATATATAACACCTTTTGACCTCTATCCGTCGAGGTCCCAAAGCCAACCCATATCGCGTTGGTTTGATGTACGATCGATGTAGGAATCAATATAATTTATTAGCAGCATACTTTTTGTGGGCCTGATTAATCGGAATCAGTTTATAACTTAGACGAGGCCAAATTCTCTGCAATTTGGAACACATTAGAAGAATGAGGGTTAGGGGTTGCAATTTATCAAATTTTGTACTGAAATGAATTTATTGCTGTGGTACGTGTAGTCGTGTGTTGGTGATTGCAGTGCTTTTGCACAAGGTCTCATAGGCGAAGTCTAGAATAGTATAAGGAATAATACCTGAAGATTTTATCATAATAATATTCAAGGTTATCTACAAGTAAGCATCGAAGATAAATAATATTTACGATCACACGTGTTTTATTATAAAAATTAAACTAAAAAAGATTAATAAAAAATATTTTACTTAATTGTATCAAGGTGTTCAACAGGTAGCTTGAAGTGATATTTAAAGCATCAATCGACAATAATTCTCCACTTTGTAAACCTAATTTCAATACTTATCAGAAAGAATAAGTCAAGGTAGAAACAATTAATATTTACATAATTAATTGACACTTACAACAAATAATTAGTTAGAATAGGATCACCAACTAACCGCATAGTTAATTTCAGGCAGTGTTTGCAATAAACACCAGAATGTGAAGGCAATGTCTGATCTGATAACGCGATAAATAAATACCGAGGCGCCTCGAATTTCAATAAAAATATCACGAGTTGCTCCGCCAAAAATAAACGAGCCGATCCAGATGAGAGAGGAGTGAAAGGATCGTAAAATCATGCGTGTTAGGGTACTGGCAAGAAATTTGGCGAAATTGTTTTGGCTCAAGCTTGTGGAGGCTTTTATGGAGGCAGAGGACGTTGACCGAGAGCTGTGCCAAGTGGCCGGCGCCACTCTGGCCGACGCACTGCGATCCCAAGGATGCTGCACTGCGCACTGCCTTATCTCCACGTTTCCTTCTCGAAATAATTTAAAACACTCGATACACTGCCAAATAGGTCCCGGCCAGGATATCTCAGTGCATCGCCGTACATCCCCGAACCGGACCGGAAAAATACGATCTGAACCGAAGTGCAATGTCCTTTGAAATATTTCTATCGAAGGACGTCCCAAGGCAGACGAAAATATAAAATCGGTCTTTTTTGTAATTATATCCATCCCCGAATGATATTTATATGGTAATGAGGAGGGGTTCGATTAGCGTGTCTTGTCTTCGAGACGTTTATTGCTACTTTGTTACGCGAGCTCGAAATTTAACGTTCTGGTGACCCATAATAGGGTTCCATTCCATCTATAATCGGATAATCATACAAATTACTGTTCTTACATAATGTATAACAATCCGAATATGATAATAGTCTAATTTGTTTTGAATGCCAATGCATTTTGTAGCTGACCTACAAAACATGACCTGTTCAAGTTATAAGCGCTTTAGGTATATTTGATACATATTTGACTTAAGTAAATACTCCAATACTTAATTCTATTATTATTTGAAATATGCCATATTAACCCTTTGAGTACCGTCATTATAGACACAATTAAAGAACAATAGGTTGCAGTCACCGGTGTCCTCGCGGTGTTTGACAGTTTAATATCACTCTTGCTATGTTAACTTATTTATTATATGACAATTATTGCAACATGTACGTAAGGACAGGCTAATTGTTCTCAAATTGAGTGTAATCAAGTTATCTATAGGGAATGGCAGAAGGTGGTCAATCTACTAATATAGTTATGCTCTAATTTTCAAAAAACTGAATATTGGTACGTATTCTGACTTGTGATTCAAACCCGGGACCCCTAACTTAGCGGTCGCACTAGCAATCACTTGATTAGCATAGCAGTAACAGATAAAAATCTGAGAGTTATACAAACTGTAGAACCAACTTTTAGCTGCATATTTTTTTAACATTCAGTGTTTGATCACAAAATACCCAAGAAGTCATCTTCAGGACTTCCATATTCTTAAAATTGATTCCCTGATCACGATACGATTTTTTAATCATCATATAAAATCAAAATTCCAATCATTGATCGTAATTACGCGGCAATGAACTTTGATTGCAGTGGCCTGAAATAAGAACGGTACTAAATAAGAACGTACATGACATAATGTAGGTACTCGTAATACTCATTTGTTTCATAAAGCTACGTAAGTAAAGAAGTAAAGAATTGGATAATTTTACTTATAATCCGCCTTATTTTGTAATTACATTTTTTCAAATAATAAAGATAAATATAAACAGAACTACTAAGAAAATATCACTCACACAAAGCCCGCCGTATAATTAAAACAAAGCTCTATCTTGAAGTTATCACATTTCTTTCTAAGTACCTTGCAAATCATATTTTGTATAGAAAATATATAATCCATGAAACTACAAAATAATACAAAATAATTTATTATTATTTCATAAACGACGTAAAAACCGACTGAAACCTTAAAACCTTAAAACCTTCTCCTAAGTGTAACCAACACTTTTCTGAAAAGCGCATCAAAATCGGTTGGGCCAATCGGGAGATATTCACGCACAAACATACATACAGACCTACATACAGTTCAAAACTGAGAACCTCACTTTTCTTACTTTTAGAAGTCAGTTAAAAAGACGAAAATGATAACATTTTATCCAACCAGTGAAAACTCTCCAGCCATTTCGTATCGATAAAAAAAAAATGAAATAAAATGTTCAACGAGCAGCTTAATTCAATGTAATTCATACAATATAAAGATTGGGCCAACGATTTGTCGGTGAACCACCGGAAGCAGAACGCTGGCGCCTGCTGGCTTAATTGGAGCCCGACCAATTCACCAAAAAGATACCCTGGAACGTGATGCGGTTAAAAGAAAAAAGGGTGGAGAAACTATATAATATCTGCTACTGTTTCAGGGTTCCACAAGGCTTGAAAGAAAACGTTTTAACCTTTTTTCAAACGTTTTAACTGATACAAATGACTCATGGAGTACTTCAACAGAATTCATAGACGCATATGCATGTAAACGCAAATCGATCATCTATTTTTTTATGACATATGTAAACGAGCAGACAGATCACTTGATGGTAAGCAATCAGCGTCGCCCACGGACACCTGGAACATCAGAGGCGTTACAAATGCATTACCGGCCTTTTGGGGATTAGGAGTTTGAGGATTCACGAATTGGGGAGATTCGGG